GGACAGGTTGGATGAGGCTTTGAGCACCCTGGTGTAGTGGAAGGTGTCCCTGCCCATGGCAGGGGGGTTGGAACTGGGTGTGCTGTGGAGCTTCCTCACCCCGTGCTGCAGCCGTGCCCCTCAGCACCCAGTACCAGGGTCCTCAGGGCACGTGTATATCTCAAAGTAGCAGCTGCAAAAAGCCCTCTCGGCATGAAGCAGCTCAGCTGAGATGCTGAACCACACTTGCAAAGGTTCATCCTTGCTGGGAACCGAGTTAAAACCAGGAGCTAAAACCATCTGTCTCACCATTTTCACTCTTGGGTGCCTGATACACATCTTCAAAGTCCTCCTTTAATGCAGTTGTGGTGACAACACAAATATCAGCCAAAACCAAATGCCATGTGGCACACACGATCCTGCCTGTAGCCTATGAGGTTAAGGAGATCAGAGTCTGATGCTGGAAGCCCTGGGAGCCTGTCCCTTCACCCAGCATCCAGCTGCCCCAACGCACCGACCAGGAATTGCACGTTTTGCTGCCTCCTCCAGCACTCGATGTAGTGGGGAGAATGGTCCATGTCTCAGCCGAAGGCAGCAGAAGGATGTCTTCCTTACCTCCCAAGTCAGGGTCTCCAGGGCATCCTCCTGGACTCTGACAAAAGCATGGGCTCCTGCTCCTTGCAGGGAAGCTTGCAGGGCAGGATAGAACCAGGACAGCCCAGCAGCATCTCGGGGTCTGCACTGGTTGTCGTGGATTCTGGGGCAGAGACTCTTCTCAGGTGGGTGTCTACGAGTGTGGCAGGGGAATTTGGGGCTCACAGGCTATCCTCAGTAGGACAACGGGCTGGTGAGCACAGCCTGGGAAGTGGAGGACAACTAAATGGTGAACCTGAGGGTGAACCCTCTGCTCCTGGAGAAGGCTGTGACCCAGCAAACATCCCAGGATGTCCTTTTCTGTCCCAGCTTGTGCTCAGAAGCTGCCGCCTCGGGACACACCAGACCTTTCTTTCCTTGGCCATATGATAGACCAGGACACGTGGCTCCTCTCACCCTAAAGGACGCAGCAGCCTTCCTGCAGCACGATGGAACCAGGCTGGAGATACGTACCTCCTGGAGAAGGTGGTCTACCCCTACCCCTCAGGGAAGGCAGTCCCATCTAATATCTGTAGGGCTCTATGGAGAGAACACCACAGGGGTTAAGGTGCTAAACCCAGCTGGGACATCAGAGGCGCAAAGAAAGGCCGGGGGACCAGCAACTGGGCAGATAAATTAATGACTGCAAAAAAGGAGGAAACTATTTAGCAAAGGGCATAGAAAATTTTATTGTGGACAGAGCTACTATAAGAGCTCCATACATGACTTTGGGACTGCTTTTGCATGGACAAAGGGTAAGAAAACACATGAGGTCTGCTGGGGGGCACATGCTGGCGAGAAATTAGTGCTGCCTTCTTGATGGAGGGACAGCTGGCCTTTGAAAACCCTCAGCCCAGCATTGCTGCGGGGTGTAGTTCTCTTAGATGAGAGCATATGTGAGGAAAAACATCTGGGAGGACTTTGTCTAACCGGGATCCATCAGTGAGCAGATGCCCTGGTCTCTGCAGAAAAGCATTGCTATGTCTGCTGGCCAACAAGTGTTGATCCCACCCATGCCTGCTTTTCCGAAGGATCACGCTGCTGGTGGATACCACTGGCCACAGCGGCAAGGGAAGCTGCAAGGAGCGTGACCACAGGCCAACCCCTCCTGCAAATGTAGCCATCAGGACTTCAACAGCTACATGAGACTTCACCTTTGCTGATCGATGACTCACGTAATTTAACGAAGACTCAAGGTTCCTCATTCCGGCTCTTTCAGGAGTCAAAAATCTGACAACAGAGAAGGATGGTAAAACAGCCCTTCAAAGAAGCCTGGGGTCAGTGATTGTATCCACACTGCCTTGCCAGAATTTCCCCAAGCACCATCCCAGGAACTGCTCAGCCGGGATGGTCCTGTCTCTGAGCCACACTCATCCCATAAACCCTCCAGCAAAGGGAGGACTCTCCTCCTCCAGCCTCAGCTCTGCAAGGATCGTGTGTTTCCAGGAGCAGCTGCAACACT